AAAAAGAAAGGGGGCATTATGATTAGCATGTATAATGTGGAGTGGGGGGCATGGGGAGGGCTGTGCAACACAGAGAAGACCAGTAGTGATTCTGCAACATCTTACTACACTGATGGACACTGACTGTAATGGGGTATGTGGGGGGAACTTGGTGATGAGGCGAGTCTAGTAAACATAATGTTCCTCATGTAATTGTAGATTAATGATACCAAAATTTAAAAAATATATGACTCATTTATTTCTAAAGTTTATAAGAATTAGATAACTGCTCTACCATAGAATTTAAGTGGAAAGTCTTGCTTATAGTACTTCCTTGACTGGTAGATTTTTTATTCTCCACATTCTGCTACTATAATAAGCATTTTTATAGGTTTTATTGTTGTATTTGCACCAAGTCCTGAACTAGGAGAAAGTCAGCAGATGGGAATTCCAGAGGAGTCAGTAAAGGAGGGCAGTTTTCCAAGAGAGGGACAGAAGGAAGAGGACTCACAGCAGAACCAAGATATGAAAGGTGAAGAGCAGCAGTTGATCTTGAATCACGAGGAAGTTGTGAGGCTTAGAGAAGAGCTGAACTGCATGAATCAGATTCTCCTTCTGTCTCAGAGCTCTGAGGATAGTTTAGGTGACACTAGTGAATAGGTAGTAAACACATGAACAGCCATAAACACATGTTCTGCCTGGGTCCCTTTCCTCTGATTAGCTATGGATATAAGCACTATTTTTATGTCATTATTAATGTACATTTGTTCAGCAATGTTATAACAATGGTCCCTGAATTGTAATGAAATAGTGACCAAAATATGAACTTATTATAAAGGGTTCTTAAGCTCCATCTAGACTCAGCAGGAAAAAATGCTGATTGATTGTCAGTGTCTGCCTTGGGGAAGTGGGATAGGATTAGCAGGTTTTGTGCCACCTTTTCTATTCCTGGTACCTTGCTTAGATGTACAAAATACTTTGTTTTGGTGAGGAAAACACCACAGACTTGGAATTGTTTTAAATATGGCTTTTACTATTTAGTAGAGATGTATCTGTGGAGAAATCAAAGGAGTGACTACCAGCTACACTTCATTTCTTATACCTCTATTTTCAGGTTTCACTTTGTACAAATTACAATTTCCCTACACATACTTTTCTAGAAATTATGATGAGATCCATAGAGGGAGGCCTATGTACACATAAGTAAACCAACTTCAAAAGACTGATAATATACATTTGAAAAGTGATTCAAGTGTACATTTAGAAAAAAAGAAAGAGTAATAGTAAAGGCAGTAAAAAGAATTGAAAAGAGATTCAGATGTAGAATTTGAAAACTAGGGCAAGTCACAGGAAACAAGAAAAAAATATATATACAGAAAGGAGATTCAGATACACTTGAGAGAAGAGAGTCATTACATTTGTTCAGAAGACCGAAAGGAAGTATGACATTAAATATTCAGAAAGAGGTTAATTTTACATTTCTCAGGCAATCTCTTTATTGGGCAGTGAGCCAGGGTAGGAGGCCTGGGCAGAGGCTGAACACTGTGGTCACAAAGTTTATAAAGTCTGTGCTTATGAGCTCAAGATGATTGGTGTACTTTCAGAATAATGAGTTTTAGAATATGAGAAGTAACACCCTGGTTAATTTATTAATTTTCCTTAGTTTACTCTTTCATATTACTTGCAGGATTATTTCTCAATACCCAAGGTGAAAAACTATTAAACATACAGAAGTTCTATCAGAAATCTGGGAGAATAGCCACTTTGTAAAAGGACAAATAATCCTGTATACCACATAGCCTCTTAGGGTTTCAAATTCTTACATAGTTTAGTAATTTTTTTCTGTAATGACTTCGAATTATTGAAAAAGTATAAGTTGCTCTTATTCATTTATTCAACCAATATTAAATGAGTATCTATGATATGCCTTGTGTTAAGGCACACACAACAGTAAATAAGATAGATGTGAGTCTCATGGGAAAAAGTAGTATATTTGTATTTTGAACTTTACATTTCCCAAAGCACTGTCACACATGTCATTTCATTTACTTCTTTAAGCAGGCAAGGAAGAAAATGTGTTTTAAATAGATTTTTTTTCTGCAGTGTGCTGCTGTGCAGTATTAATTTCAAAACCTCTAATTGTATATAGGGTTCTTTGACCTTTTGATGACTATAGATTGTTCTCCTTTTTAGTTCTTGTGTATATGTAGTTTTTGGTCTTCACCCCTGCTGTCAGATTATAGTGCCTCGTACCCAGCTGCTCTCTGTGTGTGCTGTGTCCTCAATCTCATCATGTGCAAATTTAAGCAGCTATAGGCTAAAAATAGACACCAAACTTTAAAGAACGCTTATAAGTGGTAAATACATAGAAAAAGAACTGTAAGAGTCTCTTTTATGAGTAAGTATGTGAGCTTTATTGCTCATATGTGTTTCTGACATCCCTGCTGGTGGCCTTTGGCAGCCTGTTCAACATACCCCAGGTAAGGCTATGATAGCTGAATTCTAGATGCTACTTCCCCAATATTCTTGAAACAAGTTAGAATCATTAAATATCTTAATTTTATAGGTTTAAAACCTAGCTTCATGTTTTTTCATAATATTATTGAATATTTGATATGCTCCAGGCACTACACTAAATACCCTGTGTATAGTAAGCAGCACAATGAAGCAGGAATATTACTGTTGCCACTTTTTAGCTGAGGAACTAATTTGCCTAGAATGATATATTGGGGCAAAACCAGGGTCTGTCTACTCTAGAGCTTGACCCTTTCACTGCTATATGGCATTTGCTTCTACTTGCTAAGAAATTCAAAGAAAGCATATAGTCCTCATGTCAAGCTAATTTCCTAAGGATGGCTGGCAAGCGGGCTCCCAAAAGCCCTTCCAGGGTGTCTGTCAGATTATCTTGGTGAATTTATGTAGAGTTTGGCCCTCAGGCTTGCAGGCTGCAAAACTTGATGTATTAAAGCTGTGTCTTGGAGACAAATTCACATTAAACCAAATTTTCAAGACTGTAGGGTAAAATCAGAATGTTAATCAGTTATTCTTCTGTAATAATTAATTACAAACATCACTTGAACGTGTTTAAATGAATAGTGCATTTACCTGTAGAGAGCTAACAAAGACAAGATCTGAAGGATATTTGATGAGTAGGGAGTCTGAACAAGCAGAGTTCATTTGATGATTGACATAGTCATAGATTTTGGTAGCCTGTTGCATACACATTCACTAGATGAGACTATTTAAGCCAGTCGTTTTTAACTCTTTCCACAACCGGAATGATCTTGTCATTGGAACCAGTACATGAATTTGTTTCATATTAAATTTTTATTTTATTAAGATAATACTTTAAAACATTAAAAGCTAGATTTTTTAAAGCTAGATATTTAAGCCCCCAAATATAAGATAACTAATGCTGGTTTCAACTTGTTTTAATTATAAGTTCCTTAAAATGGAAGTGATGTGAGTGATGCAAATGAGTGAACTGATGCTCAGAGAGGATAACTGGCTTAATATATCTGTTGATTAATTTGTTGAATTCTTTGTCTAGACGGCATACCTGTGCGTACCTACCTTTTGGAAAAGGTAGTTTTATTGCCCTGGAGAGACCTGATAGGAGAACATGTTGTTAATAAGAAGAATCACTAAGTAGTAAAAGAAAAGTGAAGAGGAAAGCTAGGAATTTAATATTTCTTGCCAAATATTCTCTCTTTGCCAGTAGACACCAGACACACACACACACGCTCACATATCCTACATACACACACACACACACACACACGCACCCTACAAACACACACACCCTGCATACACACACACACCCTGCATACATATACACACTCCCACTCTACTTCTTCATGTATTAGCTCTTTGAATTCCTCGTTTGAAGCATGTTACTCTAAAATTGTCCATATTTCTGTTCCCCTTCACTGATACGAAAAATAAGGAACTTAATTGTCTATGCTTAACCACTTTTGCTCACATACTTTCTTTGATATTTTAAGTCTAATATACCAGGAATTAAATTATATGAACATGTACCAACAAGTCATAAATATAAAAGGGTAACTTGTAAGTAAGCCAACACCCAAAACATTTACAAGTAAATAATCACAACCTGACAATTCTGGTCCTGGCAGCTGGAACCCATATTTTTAACCAATATTCTTTCAAATTGTCCATGTTTCTGTTTTTAAATGTTTGTTGTAGTATCCATCATCTGGAGAAAAACTGAAATACCAGCAGCAAGACGAACTGCAGCAGCTTCGCCAGAATTTGCACCGACTCCAGATTCTATGCAACTCAGCTGAAAAAGAGCTTCGATATGAGCGAGGAAGGAACTTGGACTTAAAGCAACATAATAGCTTCCTTCAGGAAGAAAGCATCAAGGTAGCTCTAGTGGGATAACTGGCTTAATAAATCTGTTGATTAATTCAAAAAGGACCCCTCTGTACTTTGTGCTCCTACATGGTTCCTAGAAACCTGAATGGGTCTATATGCCTCTGCAATAACTTTCTACTGGGAAGTAATTTACATGGTAGGAAACAGTAGAGAGCCTTTATGTTGGCCCCTTATATCCAGACCCTCCATCCTTTTTTGGAGGGTCTCAGTTGCTCAGTTGGACCCTGGGGATACTCAAATCAAAATTCCTCAACTTTATAATTCAGATGAGTAGACAACGGGAGCTATCTGGTAACTCATTCCTCTAACTTCTCCCTACCACGTAGGTACACAGTTCAGTTTTTTCTCTGCTGTTGAAGGGGTGTGTATGTTGTCATCCTGTAAATATGAGAAGTTTTTAAGTAACACAATCTTTTGAAATCATTAGCTAACACTTGGAGCACTTACTTAATTTGAGTGACCTGAGTCCAAATGCTGGCTGTCCTGTCCTAGTTCTCCCTCTAGATTCATAGATGTGTCCAAGGGCAAAGTTGTTCTTTCTCACATTGTGGCATCAGGAAGTTAGAGGGACATCCCCAGACATGCTTATTTTAAAATAATAAATGTAGCGCTGCCATCCACAGATTCATCTATATTTTATGAACTACATAAGTGTTCAGACTGAACCACTGTGTAAAATAGTACTTTTAACTGTGGTTCAATTCTGTAAATATATACTAGGGACCTAGTTTCTGTAAGACCCTTTCTAAGGTTCTGGAATTCAACATTCAGCAAATAATTGTTGAGCATCAGTCATATGCTAGGCAGGTAGTCATCGATACTGAGGGTTTAAAGGTAGGCCAGACACAATCCTTATGCCCTGGTGCAGGGGTCAGCACATGAGTCAAATCCTGCTTGCCTTCTGTTTTTATAATTACAGTTTAATTGGCACACAACCACACCTGTCTGTTTATGTATTACTGATGGCTGCTCTTGTACTACAACAGCAGACGTGAGTAGTTTTATTGTAGCCTGTATGGTCCCAAAGGCTAAAATATTTACTGTCTGTCCCTTAATAGAAAAGTTTGCCATCCCCAGTGGAGAGGGATCAATGGACCTTATTCCAAAAGTGACATAATAATGGAGTAAGAAAGGTCCCTATTTTTCAAGAGCTCACAGTCTAGTAGGAGAGATATAGAGGAAAACAGTTATTTTTCTCAATCTGTGAGGGAAGCCCTTCTAAAAAGTTCCAGCATTCCAGGATTATTTGAATGAACCTCTTCCCTATCCTCACCCCTCATGATTTTTTGAATATTGATCATATTCCTTCAAGCCTTTTTTGTTTTAAATTTAATTACAAATTTTTATCACATTTCTTTGTAAGACAGCCTTATGCCTTTTCCTTCAAAGACATTTCTTAGGTCCTTTTAACTGTCCAACTCTGAATATATTCAAACAATATATCTTTCTCAAGGTGCAATGACCAGAACAGCACAGATAATGATGCCTTATTTGGCACCCTGTATTTGTTAAATTAATGAGCAAATCCTTCAGGGATGGGTAATGATATGTTGGTAAAAGGAGAAGATATTTTTTGCTCTGTTTTAAATCTCCTTTGTGATGGGGTAAAATATTGGCCATTTCAGTATTGAGATATCAATCTTTGGACAGGTCTCTTCGGCCAGGTACCTAAGTAGTCATATATAATAGCCAACTACCTTTTATTGACAGTTTGTCCACTTCATCTCTTATTAACTTCCCTACAATCCTGAGGGATCAGCATTTTATAGATGAGAAACTATTTTAAAGTTCCAAAGCTAACAAATTGTGGAATCAGAATTTAAACCCAGGTCTGTTTCTCTCTTTCCTGTCTAGAGATGTCTTTCCATATTAAACCTCTCCTCAATTTGAGATCAGTTTGGAGCCTCAGCTTTGTAAAGTTAGAGCTCATTTTCTTAAGTTCACTCAGAGATGATCAAACACTGGGACTCTGGCTAATGCTAGACATACTTATAAGACTGATTAAGAAATCAGACTACTAATTTATTGCTTTTAAACCATTTTATTGTGAAATATAATACTCAAAAAAGTACATAAAACATAAATATGTAGCTTAACAAATTGTTATAAAGTGATTATCCGTGTCACCACTACTCAGGACAAGAAATAGTACATTGTCTGAATACCAGTGGCCCCTTCATGCCTTTTTCCCACTATAATCCCATCACCTTCCCATCTTAGCAGTCACCACTGATTTTGGTAATTACTCTCTTGATTTACTTCACAGTTTCTCCACCTATGTGTGAACCCCACACAATGTATTTCAGTTTTGTCTATTTTTGAATATTTTACAAATATAACCAATCTTTTTTTTAAATGATCTACCTTGTTTGGAAGATTCACCCATGTTGGGGTTATAGCTGTTGTTCATTTTCTTTGGAGTATAGTACTCCACTGTAAGAAAATGCCATTATTGATTTTTTTCTATGGTTTTGGGGCATCTTGCATGTTTCTAGCTAGGGCTATGAAGAAGAATGCTGTAGGCTTGCAGAGCTCTGGCAGAGAGCTAGCTGTTCTGCCACCACGAATACTGAGACACTGTAGTGGATACTTTTACTGGTGCCTGTGTCTCTGCATAAAGCTGAAGAAGCTACCCCAGACGTACATGTTGTTGGCCATAGGCCGTGTTTGCTCCTCTGTTGTCTTCGCTATTATGAGTATTGCCCGAAATGGCTGATTGTTAGCTCTGTGACTGATGATCGCATGTCTCAGGGGCCTTTTAGCTTTCTTGGCCTGTGGAGAAAGTGGACAATGTATTATGAAAGGACTGCTACCCTTTCTGTTCATGGAAAGAAGTTTAGGTTTCATAGTCTCGAACCAATCAATGCACTAAGTGGTCCAAGGACTTTTGATTTCTTTGTTTCTTCTCCTATTCATTGGATCTGTGTCTTAATTTTTTCCTGGCTACATTAGTTTTGTTTTTTCCTCTTAATCCCCTTTACCTATTTCACCCACCCACACCACCCTCCCCCCTGAGGCAAACACTAGTTTGTTTTCTGTATTTATGAGTTTGTTTCTGGCTTGTTTTGTTTGTTTGTTTGTTTTGTTTTTTAGAGTCCACATATAAGTGAAATCATCTGGTAACTTTCTTTATCCATGGCTACGCTGTTCTTGAAAGATGAAATATCCAAGCTGTCTAATAGGTCAGAGTGCCTTTTGAGAAGAAATCAAGTTAACAGATTTGTTCCTGTCAATGAAGTTTCAAAAGCTGAACCAATTCTCCAAAGTAAAATGAGAAAATGAAAAAAACAAACAGAGATTGAACTGGTGTAGAATGGCAGGGGGGATAAAGGAGGGTTTTCTCTGGAAAAGTAGGAAGCATATTAAAGCTTGATCTAGAATTTCTTTGGTAAGCCAAAGAGACAAGCTTATTACAGATTTTTTTCCTATTGACCTTTGACCCACCAAATGATATCAAGCCTTTTTACCCTTAGGGCTTAATTTCTTCATTTGTACATACATTCATTTCTATTCTATTTACTAAAGTATTTTGATGATTTTTACATGTCTATTAACACATTTTTGGAGATGGTATGTCTCATATTCAAAAATTAATGCAAAAGGAGGTATCTGGACACTTGAGCAGCTTTTACCCAAGGAGTTTCACATTTAAACAGAGAACAGAATTGCACATTATTTCACATATGTTCATTTAATGAATGTATTCAGTAAACACTCTTTACTGAATAATGAGATGCATGAAAAGACCATCATATCACCTCTGCTTTTTAAAAAATGTGTCTGTGAACATTTGTGTACATGTGTCTTAATGTCCATAAGTTTGCATTTTTCTAGAAACAGAGTGGGAGTGAAATTATTGCATCATCTACTATATGTTACTTCAAATCTTTTCTAAAGTTTTATACTCCCACCAGCATTGTGTGAAGGTTCCTATTTCTCTACATCTTCATCAACTTATGGTATTCCTAGAGTCTAAGTTTTTTGCCAATATAATATATGTGCATAGTGGTATCCCCTTGCAGTTTTAATGTGCATTTCACTGTTTACACACTAGGCTGAACAGCTTTCTATATAGGTATTTGGCATTTGAGTTCCTATTCTGTGAAGTGCTTGTGCAAGATTTTGTTCACTTTACTTTTGTGCTTCTGTCCTTTTAATATTTCCATTAATTTATAGGAGTTCTTTGTATATGAACCCTTGATCATGTATGTACTACAGATATCTACACTGTGCTTGTATTTTCACTCTAAGTATGATCTTTTGATGAATCAAAGTTTTAAATTTTAGTCAGTTGTTATCTTTATAATTGTTGATTTTGGGGTCTGAGTTAAGAAATCTTTGTGTACCTCAAAGCCATAAAGATATTCTTCTATGTTATTACTATATTGTCACCTGGGTCATAAAAATATTGGTATTATGTGCAGTATGTTTCTGACGTCTCTATTCTGTTCCATTGTTCTATTTGTCTATTCTTGTGCCAGTAATATGCTGTCATAATTATTAGCTTTCTATAAGTCTTAATATTTGGTAGAGCAAATACTTTCACCTTGTTCCTCTTGTTTTAGGACATCTTGGCTACTCTTGGCCATTTGAAGTTCTACATACATTTTATCATCAATTTGTCAAGTTACATGCACATACTCACGTGCAATCCCATACAATATGCATATACTCATACAAAAGCTTTTGGGATTTTAGTTGGAATTGCACTGAATGTATAAATTTGGGCATAATTTAAATCTTTATAATATTGAGTCCTCTAACTTATGAACAATGGGTATGTGTTATATTTAGGTCTTCAATTTATCTCAATATCATAATTTTCTTTGTAGAGTTCCTGTACATCTATCTATTGTTAAACATATTCCTCAGTGCTGATATTTTCCATACTATCATAAATGGTAACTTGTAAAAAATTTCATTTTCTAACTATTGCCATTATATAAAATGTAATTGATTTTTTCTAATAAAAACCTTGCCATGCTTTTAAGTTGTTTCCTATAATTCAAGTTTGTATTATTTTGCATTTTCTATGCAAGCAATCACATCTCATGAGAATAAATATATTTTTCCTTCTTCCTTTCCAAATATTACATCTTTCATTTTTTTTTTTTTTTTTTGTTCCATGCAATGGCTAGTGCAGGCAAACCATGCAGATTTTGTAGGTTCAGTTCCAGACCATTGCAATAAAGTGAGTCAAATTAATTTTTTGGTTTCCCAGTGCATATAAAAGTTATATTTACACTCTACTGTAGTCTGTTAAGTGTGCAACAGCACTATGTCTAATAAAACAATGTACATACCTTAATTTAAAAATGCCTTATTGCTAAAAAATGCTGTTATCTGAGTTTTTAGTGAGTCATAATCTTTTTGCTGGTGGAGGGTACTGCCTCTGTGTTCAGGGCTTCTGACTGATTGAGGTCGTGGTTGCTGAAGGTTGGGGGCACTGTGGCAGTTTCTTAAAATAAGACAACAGTGAAGTTTGCTGCATTGATTGACTCTTCCTTTCATGCACGATTGCTCTGTAGCATGTGATACTGTTTAGTAGCATTTTACCCAGAATAGAACTTCTTTTAAACTTGGAGTCAAACCTCTAAACCCTTCGACTGCTTTATCAATTGAGTTTATATTAATATTCTTGTCATTTCAACAATCTTCATAGCATCTTCACCAGATTTCATCTCAAGAAACCACTGTGTTTGCTGATCCATATGAAGCAAATCCTCATCCATTAAAGTTTTATCATGAGACTGCTGCAATTCAGTCCCATCTTCAGGCTCCTCTTCTAATTCTAATGCTATTTCCACTATATCTGCCTCCACTAGAGTCTCGAACCCTTCAAAGACATCCATGAGGGTTGACTAACTAAACTCCTCTTAGTGTGTATGTTTTGACCTCTTCCCATGAATCATGAAATGTTCTTCATGACATCTAGAATAATAAATCCTTTCCAGAAGGTTTTGAATTGACTTTGCCCAGATCTGTCAGAGGAATCACTAGCTATGGCAGCCATAGCCTTACAATATGTATTTCTTGTGTTGGCAGTCATGAAAACAACATTAATCTTGTTTGAACATCTCCATCAGAGATCATGGGTAGCCAGGTGCATTGTCAATGATCAGTAATATTTTGAAAAGAATCTTTTTTTTTGAGAAGTAGATCTCAACAGTGGACTTAAGATATTCAGTAAACCATGTTGTAAACACATGTGCTGTCATCCAGGCTTTGTTCCATTTATAGAGCACAGATAGAGTAGATTTAACATAATTCTTAAGGGCCCAAGGATTTTTAGAATGCTGAATGAGCCCTGGCTTCATCTTAAAGTTACCTACTGCATTAGCCTCTAACAAGAGAGCCTGTCCTTTGAAGCTTTGAAGCCAGACATTGGCTTTTTGTCTCTAGCTATGAAAGTCCTAAATGGCATCTTCCTCCAATAAAAGGCTGTTTCATCTACAGTGAAATTCTGTTGGTTAATGTAACCACCTTCATTCATCATCTTAGCTAAACCTTTTGAGTAACTTGCAGCTTCTGCATCAGCACTTACCACTTCCCCTGCACTTTTATGTTATGGAGATGGCCTCTCTCCTTAACCAACTTCTGCTGGCTTCCGGCTTTTCTTCTGCAGGTTCCTCACCTCTTTCAGCCTTCATAGAATTGAAGAGAGTCAGGGCCTTGCTCTGGATTAGGCTTTGGCTTAAGGGAATGTTGTGGCTGGTTTAATCTTACATCCAGACCACTCAAACTTTCTCCATATCAGCAATAAGGCTGTTTCCACTTTTTTATGTGTTCACTGGAGTAGCACTTGTAATTTCCTTCAAGAACTATTTCTTTGAATTCACAACTTGGTTAACAGTTTGGGGCAAGAGGCCTAGCTTTTGACCTATCTCAGCTTTTGATATTGCCTTCCTCACTAAGCTTAATCATTTCTAGCTTTTGATTTAAACTGAGAGATGTACAACTCTTCCCTTCGCTTGAAGACTTGGAGGCCATTGTAGGGATATTAATTGGTCTAATTTCAATATTGTTGTGTCTCAGGGAATAGAGAGGCCTAAGGAGAGGGAGAGAGACAGGGGACCAGCCAGTCATTGGAGCAGTCAGAATGCACACAACATATATCAATTTAGTTCGTCCTCTTAAATGGGTGTTTTTTGTGGCACCTCAAAACAATTACAATAGTAACACCATAGGTAAATGATAACAAATACACAGATCACCATAACAAATATGGTAATCATGAGGAAATTTGAAATATTGCAAGAATTACCAAAATGTATTGCAGAGACACAAAGTGAGCAAATGCTGTTAGAAAAATGGCACTGATAGACTTGTTCAATGCAGGGTTGCCCCAAACCTTCAAACTGTAAAACAAAAACGCATTATCTGTGAAGTGCAATAAAACGAAGTACAGTAGAACTAGGTATGTTTGTACAACAATGAATAGAATTGGTGAAGGTGAGTATCCTTTTCTCATTCCCAGTCTCAAAGGAAAAGCTCTTGAATTTCACCATTTAGTATGTTTTTGTAGGGTTTTTTAAATAGATATTCTTGATCACATTAAGGAAATTCTTTTATGGTGTTAGTTTGTTCAATGTTTTATGATAAGTTCATATGGAATGTCATAAAATTCTTTTCCTGCACATTTTGAGAAGATTTAAAATTTTTAATTTATTAATATGGGGAATAACATTGACTGATTTTCTAATGTTAGCCCAAATTAAATTCCTGGGATAAACCCAACTTTAACATAAATTATTATTATTTTCCTACAGTGCTGATTTTGGCTTTCTAATATTTCTTTGGAATTTTTGCATCTTAGTTCATGAATGACACTGGCCTGTCATTTTCCTTTCTTGTAATGTCCATGTCAGATTTTGGTATCAAGGTTATCCTAGGCTTTTAACATAAGGTGTGTAATGTACCCTTTTTCTGTTCTCCAAAAGAGTTTGTGTAAAATTACAATTATTTCTTCTTAAATAATTACAAGAACTCAATTCTGAATTCTTCTGATTCTAGAGTCTTCTTTTGGGAAGATTTCCAATTACTGGTTCAGTTTCTTAAGAGCTATGAGAATTCACACTTTTTATGTCATTTTGTATCAACTTTGATATATTTTATTTTCCTAGAAAATTTTCCTTTCCATCGATTTTTTAATTTTTTAATGAACTCATTTTTCAATTTTTTAAATAAAGCACTGGTCCTTTCTAATCTCATGATATGAGTTACTTAAGCTTTGTTGTTTTTCTCTTGATCAGTCTTACTATAAGTTTATCCATTTTATTAGACTTCTCAAAGAACCAATTTTTAGCTTTGCTGATTCACTCCACTGTATTCTTTTTAGATAAATAACAAATACAGGTATTTTACAATTTAGAGGCAGTATAGTATGGAGTACTGGATTAGAATCAGCAAGTCTATCAAATGCCAACTATATTTTAGAGTCAGTTTTTTTCATCTCTAAAATGGGGTATTACCAATTTTGCTACTTCATAGACATGAAAACCTAACCAATGTAAAATAATTCTATTAGTATCTGCCTCAGTTCTATACTTCAAATACAGTTGATATATTCTACAGCTGACTTGAAGAACAGAAGTTAACTTGTGTTTGGTATTGCCTGTGTGTCTGGCCCTATTCTTGATGCTTTCATTGCCATGTTTAATGTAGCCTCACAACTGTCCTATTTGGGAAATAGTTATTATAACCCATATTACAGATAAAGCAGCTGAGGCTGATGAACATTATTAGTTTTTAGATTCACTTGATAAACTCTGATTGTTTAATATACAGAAGTCATAGATGGGGGAAATTATAGTTATAATCCTTATTAATTCAGTTGAAAAACTTTGAGCCCAGGAGATTCGGTTTTACATTAGGAAAAGTAAACTCAGCATTTTTGTCTGTGAGCCCTGCCTGGTATGTATATTCACCAGGTTCTAATATTCCTTGAAGTATCATTCATTTTTTGTTCAGTATATATTGATGAATAGTTGATTTTTAAGGCACTTTGATAGGCCTTAGCCACTGAGAAATGAATAAAACACATGGGCTCTGCTCTTTGGAATTTAGAATGGGGAAGAAGTATGATAACAAGTAGGTAGATACATGTTTAATTGTCAATTGTGATAAATCCTAAAAGGAAATAAATGTGGCACAGTAAGTAAGGAGTAAGGAGTCTTCTTCAGATTAAATGATCAGAAAGTCCAGGTTGAATGGTGGCATCATTTACTGAAATCAGAAAGAGTAAGAGAAAAATGATTTTGGAGATATGGGCAGAAACAAGCAGTTTCGTTTTGGCAGTTACTGGCAAATCATGAGAACAAACCTACGGAGAGAATGATCCACTCTTAAGGCCTAGGATAGTCCAATAATATTTCAAAGTTGAGTAGCATTTAAACAGTCTACAAAAGAGATTTAAAAGGAACAGCAAAAAGATAAGTGAAAATCAGGAGAGCTGGCACCACAACTCCAAGAGGGCAGAGCTTTCTGAGAGGGAGAGAGGGAGTGCTACTAAGAGCTGAACTGTCCACTGAATTTATTTTGGGTGGGGAGGTCAATAGTGCCCTTGGCAAAAACAGTTTCATGGCACAGTAGGAATGAAAGCTTGGAGAACATTGAAAAAAGGATAGAAACTGTTTAGCCCATGCATGTGTAGATAGTCTGACAAATATTCCTTTGTGCAGCTGCCATCTGGCTAAATAGACTTGGGCAAATCTTACTAATGCATGACAGCTCCAGAGAGGTAATCAGCCATGTGCCATTGGTATTAGTCAGCTCCTGGGGGACTGCACTGCTTTGAAAGCTGCTTATTCTGGCTCACATTCACAATCATTTGATGCTTATTTTATCACTCTTATTTATTCCCCACCTCTAGATCAAAATTGAACTCAAGCAGGCCCAGCAGAAGTTATTAGACAGTGCAAAGATGTGCTCTTCTCTCACCGCAGAGTGGAAGCACTGTCAGCAGAAAATCAAGGAATTGGAGCTGGAAATCCTTAACCAGGCTCAGAACATTAAATCGCAGAGCAACCTACAGGAAAAGCTGACTCAGGAGAAATCTAAAGTTGCCGAGGCAGAGGAAAAGGTAATTATCTTCATACTTAATAGATAATATGTACTGAATACCACTACTGAAATCATGTTTCCCTAAGGAGTTTAAGAAATAGATATGGTGCAAATTCCAATGTTTTTCATTATTCTCCCATGATTTCCTCTCTTTCGACTTCTCCGGCTCCTACAATTTCAGTAAATTTTGTTTCTTAGACTGCATGAACTTAAAAAGTTAAGTTTCATTAAAGATAAAACATGAACTTAACGAACTGAGACCAGATGACTTTTGTTTTACACTTTGAAATTTTAAAAGATTTATACTTCTCTCCTTTGGATTGGCTGTTTATGTTATTTTTTATTTTTGTTTCTGGAGGGATTTGTGATGCAAAATGAACCATTTTGAAATATTGCCCCTGCAATTTTAGATCACTTACCCCAGGTGACAGTAGTATGCAGCAGTTGCACGCTTTGTCTGATAGTCAAATCTCACATAAAAATGAGTCATTTCTTCATACCATATAAATACAAAACAAACATTAAACAGTAAATGGCAGCGATATGAATTAAACTCAGAAGCCTAATGTTGAGCTAAAGAAACCAGCACAAAAAAGTATGAACTCTTTTTATGTAATTTCATTTATATGATGTTTGAGAATAGACAAAATTAAGCTATGGTGATACCCTCGTAGTTGTTTATGAGGGGTATTAACTGGGAAGGGGGCATGAGGGACTCTTCTGTAGTACTGGAAGTATTCTATATCTTGGTCTGGGAGATATTTATATAAGTAAAACTGCTATGAGTATGCTTTAGGTATGTGTACTTTATGTGTGTTATTATTCCACAAAAAATTAATTGGTAAAATTGGTAAAAAGTTTTAATTAAAAAAAAAAGTTTTAATTTAGACAGTACTAAACATTGGTGAGGATTTTGTGCAACAAAAACTCTTATATACTGACAGCAGCTGGTAAAGCAAATTAGTATAAACACTTTGGAAAGCAATTTGGCATTGGTATGTAGTTAAGTTAAAGATGTATGTATACCATACAACCCACACTTCTACCACTAGGCATAAACATCAGAGAAATTCTTACACTGAGTATATTTATCAGGAGATAGGAATACAGTCATTTTCACAGAAACATTGTTCCAAATAGCAGAAAATTAGAAACAGTCCAAATGTTGAATAAAATGAGATGGAATAAGCAAATTATATACTTACACAATAGCATACAACAGTGAAAATAAATGAACTGAAAGTATATGCAAAATACTTCAATATAATATTGAATAAAAACCAAGCCACCAAAAACACAGTATGATTCCACTAATATAAAGGTTAAAATGATGCAATATAAAAACCATCTCAAATAGAGATACATGTTATTAAAAGAAAAAGAAAAGAAATTATTAACAAAATTTAAAAGATGAGTTTTCCCAGGTGGGAAGGATGGGTGATAATCAATGAGGGTCACAGAGTGGATTTCAAAAGCATTAGAAATGTTCTCTTTCTTATATTATGAGGTGGGCTCAAATGTTTGCATATGTCCTTGACAGAGAAGCTAATGGGGTGATACACTCTCTGTGGAATTAAGACTGTGTATCTTTAAGTAAGCATTTCCCTAGGCAGAACTACAGGGAGGCAGGGTAACGTTCCTTTGAGCTGGCCTCGATGATTGGCCACCCCCTGCCATTGCCCTTGAATCATTCTGCATCTTCAACTCTCTTTAAAGGTATGTGGGCTCTGCAGGAACCTGGGGCTGATACAGAAAGCCCTTCTCTTAAAAAAGGACTGTGATCCACTGGCATTCACTGAATAGTTGTGGAGAATGTGGTTCCAGCCATTGTAAAAGATTCGTTTTTGGGACAGGAATGCATTAGAGGTAGAATAGCTATTCTAATAGAAATTATTCTTTCAATAAATATTTATTTAGCACCTACTATGTACCTGTCACAATTTTAGGTGACATAGGTTTTATAAAAAAGTAATAAGTAAATGAATATAAAAGATTTACTTAACAAAAAATTTAGTGGCACTTTTAATCTAACAGGAAAATTCTAAAATAAAATGACATATCTCTCTTTTGAAGTCATAAGTCTTACTTTTTATTCTGCTGGGGCATTAAAGAACATATCACTAGTGCTGGCATTATGCTAATCCTGCTTGGTTTGTAAGAAACTTCTACTTCGATCTTACTCCTGAATCTAGCCGCACTGGAGAAACTAGACAGTCCAACACATTGCTTTTTGAAATGTAAGTTGGTCTAATATCTATGGAGATAGTTTGGCATTATCTATTAAGCAGACAAATAATAATCTCTGCCCTAACAAATCTGAACCTCATAATTGATTCTACAGAAATTGTAATAGTAGTGTTTGTAATTGCTGAAGATTGGAATCAACCTGAATGCCATCAGTAGGGTCTAGTTAAATAAATTATGGTATATTCTTATGGTGGAATGGTATGCAGCTATAAAAAAGACAATTCTATATGTACATATAATATGGAAAAATCACCAAATACATTGTTTTTTAAAAAAACAAGGAGTATAAGTATGTATATGCCATCATTTGTATAAAAAATGGATATATGGGGGAGAACTATATAATATTTGTTTGTATGTGCATAAATAAATCTCTGGAAGGGTACACAAGAAACTAGTACCAGTGATTACCTATTCGGTGGAAAAAAACTTGGAGAAGACAGGATAGAAATGGGAAGGAGACTTTTCACTATATAGCTTCATTTACACAAACATACATTAAACTATGTGAATGTATTGTGTTGCAAAACCTAAGTAACTTATTTTAAAATTAAATCTAGCCACACTCTTTACTTTAGGTCAGATTTGTTTGTTAGCATTATGTTTGCTATTTATATGGTATTTCCCTAATTGGATGAAAGGTCACACTCTCCTTAAGGTTTTATTTGTAAACTTTTTTCATTCAAGATTTTGGATCTGCAGCAGAAATTAGAACAAGCTCATACAGTCTGTCTCACAGACACTTGTATTTTGGGGAAGAAGCAATTAGAGGAAAAGATAAAAGAAGGAATAGAAAATGAAGCTAAAATAAAGCAACAATATCAGGAAGAACAGCAGAAGAGGTAAGAGAGCAAGGGTGTTAGTTTCCCATGCACTAACATGATTGAGTTTCCCAGCAGTGCCAGTGCACCACGGAGTCAACTCAGTAACACAGCTTCTTATACTATAGCACTTACCACACTGTGTTCTAAGTTTATTTCCCAGTTTGCCTTTCATTTTAGAGTGTGGGATTCTTAAGTGCAGGGATTATTTCTTGTTGCTCTGGGACATACTTGGTGCACCAGTACATTTTCTTGAACGACTGGGTTGCCAACAAAATGTGACACTCTGGGTTATTGCTTTTCTGATTCTAACATGATTGGCACAAAAACGTGGACAATGAAGTTGATGTTTTGTGTTTATCAACTGATTTTCTTCAAATAAATTCCATATACTTTACAGGCTTCTTAATCATTGCTAAGCTACCACCTGATAGGAGTTTTCATATATTTTTCTGAATTTACTGTGATTATTATTAGGATTCTTACTTGAATGATCTTCTTGGATACCCTGAATTTCAGTAATAGATGCTTCTATTGTATTCAGTGATTCATACATATTTTGAGGAAAATATGGTTTTAGCCACTGAAAAGATATATAGACCTTCACATATGTTATGAAACTCAGAACCTTACTTTCAGCTCTAGCTAAAAGCTCTAGCATAGGGCCTGGTACTCCATAGGTACTCAGTAAATATTTAGTGAATGAATGAATGAATGGATGGATGAATAATGAATTCGGTCAGTGAGGTACAGTAGAAAAATACTTGTCTCACTGCTACTTCTAGCAGGATGGCAAACTATGCCCCTGATATAAAACAGCTAGATCCTGAATAAACTCCAATCTGTATACCTTTTAAAACATTGCTCACAAAAAAAAAAGAGAAAGCCCTAAGGGAAAACATAGAAGGAGCAAAAACAAAAATGATGAGTGGTGAACAAATTTCTAAGTCAAGGGGCAGATAACAATTATCAGCCCAGGTGTGAGACAAGAAGCTCACAAAGTTTGCCACAAGGCAGCATAGGTAAATTTGAGACTCTAGTATTAATCTGGGAATCTTGAAGAATTAAAAAGGAGAAGTAGCTAAATAGCTCTTAAGGAGCTATTTCTCAGGAGGAAGCTTCCTGTCTTCCTAAGAAAATCAACATTATTTCTGGAGTACAGCAACCCCAATTTAATAGACATTAAGGATTCCTATATATTAAGTTTAATCAAATATGAACTTCAAATAAAAAATCTCCAAATAACACAAGGAAACTGACCACTATGTATGAAAGTCAGCAGAAACAACGAACACCAAATTTATAACCATCCCCCCAAAACTTCGGCAACTGGAATTATAAAGAATAGGTTGTAAAACAACTGTGTGAAGTTTTTAAAGAAACAAAAGATGTAATCCAAGAACTGAATGAGGCAACGGCTATTTAACCTTCCTGAAACTTGGATTCTTATCCTTAAAATGGAACTAGTAATACCAGTTGTATACATCTTCTGTGAAGATTGGTTGAGACAGAATATGTAAAAGTAATACTTAAGCTAGGTATATGAAAATGAAATAGGGAAATCCTTTTCCACAAAAGGAGGACTATATAGTACACATTGTTTCATAACCTGTAAGAAAGCCACCCAGTTTTGATGTTTAGATTATAACCTACTTTTTTCACTTGAAATACTATGATTTGTTTACTTTCCATTAGATCTTCTAGATATTTTAATCATATAGTAAAACATTTTCAATCCTTTATTGGTGGACATTTACATTTTTCTCAGTTTCTGGCTATAGCAAACAACAAGATAATATATATCCTTGTATTTTTGTGCACATCCTGGATTATTTCTTCAGGATAAATTATAGCAAATACAATGTAATTATAACTACTCATTATGAAATTTCAAATATTAAATACCTATTTAAAATAAAAAGCATAAGTTTTTCAGAATTCTATCCTTTAGCAATAACCCCTTTATGTGGGCACTATGTATTTCTTGGAGGGAGGGTTTCTATGCATATACACAGGCTTTTTATTCTTATTTTGTAACAAAATTTAACATTTAAAATATAATGCTTTGAAATTTTCATCTTTCACCTAATAATATAACATGGGGATCTGATTAGCCACTTAGCAGCTGCATAATCTTAAACTAATTTCTTACACTTTCAGTGCCTGTTCATACATGCTTCATAAGATCATTATGTAGACTGAATGAGTTATAAGCAATTGACTTTTTATCAGTGTCTGGCACATAGTAAGCACTTGTATCAGTCAGGGTTCAGCCAGAGAAGTAAACAGCAGGAGAAATATATAGCTAATAAGAAATAGTAGTCTTATGTATTTAGTCTTATGTACTTGTGGGTTACACAGTCTGTAAGGCTGTCAGCTGTCATCTTTGCATCGTATGCCAGAGATTAAAGTCTGCAAGACCTGACGTCAGGAAGTGAAGATGTATATAAAGTGAGAGAGCACATGACAAGCTGGATCCCAACTGTGTGGAGCACACACAACTATGAGCACGATAGCCCATGAGCGCAAGGATGGACTGGAAAGCGTGTCAATTTCTCACTCCCTCGAATTTGGTAAAGAAGGTGGCTTGCAAAAGAAGCTGGTCTCCCTCATCAAGGAGCCAAACAGACCCCCAGCCCAGAAGACAGAGAAAGTGAAGGAAGATCCAAGGGAAGGTGAAGCCGTTGCAGGCCTGGCTGTTGCCTCATGCCAAGGTGAGCAACAGAGACATGGCAACATGTATGAGCGACAGAAGTGCCTGCGCTGACTTACCGAGTATAAAAAAACAAAATGCTTTACTCTGCTCTCCAAATCTTGTACAAGTAAAGTACATCTCTTAGAGCCCACTCGTACCAGAAACATACATGGAAGGAATTCCTAGCTGATACATTACAAAGCCACTACTAAATAGGTGTTATTATTGCAAAATATGTTGTGTTATCATCATCTTCTTTCTCAGTAAAGTGAAAAATGTTCATTTTGGCTAGAACAAAATGTTTGGGGTTAAGAGAAGTGGCAAGAAGATGAGGCTATAAAGGTAAGTAGGCCTGAGTCATGTTAAACCTAACAAGCTACGTTAAGGACTTTGCACATGTTCATTGGAGGTATCATCAGTCTACAGTTTTTCTTTCTTGCAATATCTTTATCTGTTTTTGTTATTAAGGTAATACTGGTCTCATAGAATTAGTTAGGAAGTGTTCCCTCTTCTTCAATTTTTCTGGAAGAGATTAGAAAGGATTGGTATTATTTCTTTTTGAAAGGTCTGGTAGAATTCATCAGTAAACTGTTCTGAGTTTAGTGCTTTATTTTGTAGAAGGTTCTTAAATATGAATTAAATTTCTTTAATAGATCTAGGCCTATTCAGATGATCTGTCCTTGTATAAATTTTGGTAGATTGTGTCTTTCAAAGAATTAGTCCATCTCATCTTAGTTATCAAATTTGTAGGCATAGAGTTGTTCATAGTATTCCTTTATTGTCCTTTTAATGTCCATAGGATCAGCAATGATGATTCCTCATCATTTCTGACATTAGTAATTTGTGTCTTCTCTGTTTCTTGGTTAGCCTGTCTAGAAGGTTATCAATTTTATTGATTTTTTTCCTAAAGAATTAGCTTTGTTTTCATTGTTTTTTTTCTCTTTTTATAATTCATTCCTGTTTACAATTTCATTAACATCTGCTCTAATTTTTATTATTGTTTTTCTTCTGCTTTATTTGGGCTTATATTGGTCTCCTTTCTCTAGTGTTTTGGGTTGAAGCTTAGATTATTGATTTTTGATCTTCCTTCTTTTATAATATTTGCATTTAATGCTATAAGTTTCCCTCAAAGTACTGCTTTTTACTGCAGCTCACAAATTTTGTAAGTAATGTTTTCATTTCATATGTGTAGCTCAAAATATTTTTTAAAATTTCTCGGGACTTCTTTGACACATGTATTTTTTAGAAGTATGTTTATTTAATCTCCAAATATTTTTACTTTCCAGCCTTCTGTTATTGATTAATAGTTTCATAATATTATTGTAAAAAATTGTATTCTGTTACATAGATATATCATAATTTATGTAAAATGCTTTTTAAACATTTTTGCCATTTTAAAGACTGCTGTAATGAATATTTGTACAAAGGTTTTGCAAGTGCAATGAAGCATATATGATAAGTGTTATAGAAGGTTTAGGATACTGTGGTAGGGCACAGCAGGGGCACTAATCTGGCCTAGGGAGCTCAAGGAAGCCTTCCTCAAAGAAAGTTACTTATACTGAGAGTGAAGTAGTTGGTCTGGGAAAGCTAAGTAGAGAATATTGGACAAAGGAATGCTTGGGAAATGAGGATAGGGAAAAGATTGAGATAGCAGTGGAGGAATAAGTGTTGTCAATGAAAAGGTCATTTAAAACTCCTTGAAATACAGAGTTTTATTTGAACCAAACTTAGGACTTAAAGCCAGAAGACATAACTTCTACTGGCAGAAGAAATGTTCAGAAGGCTACAGTCATATGCAGGTTTTATACCCTCCAGGAGACAATCAAGAAAGACTGAAGTTCAACGGGGTACATTCATTTACATAAGATATGCAAGGCAAAGAAAAGAATAGGGAAGGGATCAATGTACATCCTGAGCAGAAGAGAATTAAGGGGAAGGGTAAATATTCATGCCTGTCTTTTAGCAAGAATCCAGATCCTAGCAGGTTTAGTTTTTGACTTAATGAACAGATGGTATTATAGAGTTAGAAAGTTTCTGTTTTCATAGGTGGCCATTTTGAGACTCCCAGAGTTAATGAAACCTTCAACACTGAGGCCTTAAAAATTTTAGTGGTCCCTAATATGATAATTCACCGGGTAGAGGATGACTTGTTTCAGGTAGTGAAAATTTTTCATTTTGTCTGGAACAAAGTGTTTGTAGGTATAGGGAGTGGCAAGAAAATGAAACTAGAAAGGCAAACTAGCTTGCAAGCCATATTGAAGAATTCTCAAGAGTGGGGAACCACTGAGCATTTTAAGCAGAGCAGTATAATTAGACTGTGATTTAG